GTTCATTATCTCCCCAATGGTCGTACACATTCAACTCAAATTTGACATATAGATACATCTTAGGAATAAGCAGTTTAAGTTTGAATTTGGTCGTGGTTCGATGATTTTGGACAAAGTTATCTTTCTTGAATGTTGGAAAAATTTTGAATTTTCAGTTTTAACACTCATACTTTTGTGGAAATGTATGTAGCCATTTTTTTGGCTACAAATATGCAATATGCAATTTACAAAAGGTTAACACTGAATAGTTTCATGCCTTTAACGTTGTATAAAAATGGTTTGTGTTAACATTGAATAGTTTTAAGGGCTTTGAACTTAAAATGAAAAAAAATAATTTGTGCAAACAAATTTGGAACTAAATATTATAACATCTGAAATTTTGGCTGCATGCGAGGGCATCCATGGCATGACGACACATTTCTAGTTTTAATTAATTTTATTGTGCATATCACCCCAAAATAAGTGTTTAAATGTTTTTCACTCAAATTGGGCTTAGAATCTCACAAAAATCGATAATCAATTTATTCTTAAGTATAATTTTCTTAATTATTCTCAGCAAATTTTTCCATTTTAAGTGTTAAACTTGAGCTTTGTGAGACTTACTAATTTTATGATTTTTACACTTTTTTTACCTTAGTGGAGCTTCATCAAATATATATTTATATAAATTCTAATTTCTAAAAAAATTCCTGAAATAACTGTTGATGATAATGTGTTTCTGCTTTCAGTTGAGAAATCATGCAGTGTTCATGGACATGGTGAAAAATGGGATCCAGTATCTAAATCAGTGAAAGGAAACACCGAGTTAGAGCCGGATACCATGATAAAACTTATTAGGAAAGGTTGTCTAAGGTAATAGAAATGTTATTATAATATATGAACATCACAGAATATGTTTCCTTTTTGGAAAAAACACTAATTTGAAAAATCAAATATTTATTATTTCTGAAAAAATAATTTTTTGAAATTTAAGCAAAATACTCAGTGCCATCTTGATTAAGTACACTTCATCAAGTTGGTTAGGAAAAAAGAGTACTTGATCAAATTCTTAATTGAACAGAACATGTTCCATTGAAATTATCTGAAGCCAAGAGTAGTGCCTGATACTTTTACCAGTATTGTTTTAAATGAGATCTGTATATTACTTTAAATGAAGAATGCCAATAATTGAGTTTTCTGCATTTTTAGGGAACTATTGTTTCATTGACAGTTGTTATTGTTATAACAAACTAGTTTATTCCTTATAAAATTTTTAAATGAATATATCTGAGTAAGTGTTTAAAAATATATATACAATTCTGTGCTATGTTTGTTTAGGGTTAATAATATTTAATTGATTTATACATGAATGTGATGTATAAAAGTAAAGTAACATCACTTATAATAATCAATATTATAATATGCATATAAAAAGTTTTGGGCAAAAGTTATACTAACATTTTTTTAAGGCCTTATCATAAATTTGTGTAATTGATATGGTCATGTATTGAAATTAGAAATGTCCTTTATTTATATTAGAGGTTTCAGTAAGAGAATTTTAAAATTGAGCAACAAACACCGTAAATATTATCAGATTAAACTTGAGTAGGACTGTTACTGGGGTTAAGGTCGTTGACTTCAAGCTACTTGCCCCTCACTGCTGTGGGTTCCAATCCTGACAGGGACTTTGGATTCTTTCATTTGAGGAAGCTATCCAACTAGCTTACAGAACGTCAGTGATTCTTCTGAGATTCCTGTTCGTGCCTGAAATAATGCACGGAGGTCTTCCTCCACCAGTAAGGCTGGAAAAATTTCCATATGACCTATACTGTTTTGATGTGCTGTAAAAGCCATTAAAAAAACCAAACAAATGCTTGTGTACTTGTCTAAGACTTGATCACTTGTTTTTTTTAGATTGGTCACAGAAGATGATGCAATTCGTGTTTATCACACTATGGAGAATGCACGAGTATATCATGGACGAGAAATGCAATTTTTTGAAATCACAGCTGAGGTATACACACTTCATATACTTTTAGCTCACCTAATCACAAAGTTTCACAATATATACCAGGTAGTATTGTGATTGAGATTGGTTTATACACATGTTCATCTATAAGGCTGCAAAGAAATAGAGATAGTTTCAGATTTTTACAATATTTACCTCCCTTACCAAAAGTCTTAAGCATCAAAGAAATAGAGATAGTTTCAGATCTTTACAATATTTACCTCCCTTACCAAAAGTCTAAGCATCAAAGAAATAAGAGATAGTTTCAGATTTTTACAATATTTACCTCCCTTACCAAAAGTCTAAGCATCAAAGAAATAGAGATAGTTTCAGATTTTTACAATATTTACCTCCCTTACCAAAAGTCTAAGCATCAAAGAAATAGAGATAGTTTCAGATTTTTACAATATTTACCTCCCTTACCAAAAGTTTAAGCATCAAAGAAATAGAGATAGTTTCAGATTTTAACAATATTTACCTCCCTTACCAAAAGTAGCAGCCATTTTGGGGATCAATATTATATATAATATAATTGGCAAAATATAAAAAAAAAACAATATAAACAGCTGATTTAGGTAAATTGTCAAATTCTTTTATACGAATGTAAGAAAATTTTATTATAGCACCAGTATGTATAAGATTTTTATCAGTTTTAATGAAGAGGATAGTATTATGAGAGATTTTTATCATATCTTAGGCATAGAATTCTATTGGGAATGACCCACAAAATTGCGGCCAGGGGAGGTAATAATTGCTATATGAAAAGCATCTATAAAGGTATTTTTATTTAAGTCTTTAGCCTTATTTGATTTTTAAATAGTCTATTGAATTACAGCTTGCTCCAGCCGTTGAGTTTTTAGTACACAGCTATCCAGAATTCACGAGTGTGGCGAGTCTCCCGGCCGATACCGTCGCGGAACAAGTGGAGATCGCCAGCATGCTGTACGATAAAGGACTGTTGATAACTGGTGAACCTCTAGAATCTATGCATGAAAATTGTGACTCAAGTGATGAGAATAATTGTGATGACAATAGTTAAACAGTTCTATGCATGAAAAATGTTCGTTTATTTGTTTTATGTTTTGCAATGATCCTGATTAAGGATTTGAAAAAACGCTTGAGGATGAAATCTTCAGAAAAAGATACTTGTGTATTTGTGACACGTTGTACACTAAAGACGCAAATTGGGACATGATGTTGTTCTTTATAACAAGTAATATTTTAAACATTATTATTCGTTTTAAATGTTTGTTCATGTCGATTACACATTTTGACAATTATTCAGTTTTCATATCCAGGAAAAACCAGATAAGCTGAAAATTCAGAAATGTTGAAATTGTTACTTAATGCCCAATTAGTGTCTTTTTGCCCAACATGTTAACATTTTTTGAAGTACTTAACATATGTGCTTACAAGGGAGTCAGATATTGTTAAAGCTATTTTTAGAAAAGAATATTTGTGCAGAACAGACTTGATTAAAGAAGAAAGATAAGCAAGTCTGAATATTAAGACATCACAGATTTTCATGTTACAACAATTATTTTGCCATAGAGCTTATATACTTGAATTTTTTTAGTTGAAATTAAAAGAAAGTTTGGTTTAGGGAATTTTTTCAATACATATTCATAAACATGTATGTATAAAAACAAATTGCCATCATGCATATAAAATTTTGATACTTCTTTGACGTTTACCTTGACATACTTACCTCCAACAATGGTGAGTTAGGTACCTGAAAAAGATAACTTCATTTATTTAGGGAAAGATATCAATCTAAAACTGCTTGTAAAGGTATTTCAGAGCATTTTGTTTTTTTTTGCATCATTGTTGTCTGAAAACCATTATATGACCTTCGACCTTTAACCTAGAGCTATTGATTAGGCTATGTCACCAGTATAGAGTGAGGTCAGCCAGCATATCTGTGCAGTCTGATCAGGATCTATACTGAATGTGACTCAGATTTTGTACATTGATATTGAAATCCTTCTATTTTTAAATGGACTGTTCCAAATTCAAAGCTGGACAAGTCTATTAAAGAAATTCAGCAGGGTAAATGTTAAAGTGTTAACATGACATAAGTTTATAAATAGAATGCAATGAGAAAATATTTTCAGACATATTACTGCTGTTGACTTATTGAAAAATATGAAGTAATAATTATCTACGGGGGCCATGATTTGTTACCCTAAGCATTTTACAGTGCTAGTTTGATACACTGTATTTTTTCTAATGATCCAAGCAATCTATGTTGAAGAAATTTTGGTAGATACATTTAATTTACCTTGATGTTTAAAAAGTATCCAACTGTTTTCTTTCTAAACAGACATTTGTTGTGACTTTCTGACCAATTACACAGTACAGTGCTGACTCTAGGACAGGGACATATTTGGGGCACCTGACGATATGTATGTGCCTGAGATGTGTTCGATATATTACATAGATGTATGTAATTAAGTGTTTTGGTTTTTGTTAATCAAAGAGGAGAAAAAAAATTTAAATATGTTTATTCTTGAATTATTGTCTTTGTTCACAGATAACATTAAGAAGCTCTTATTGATGTTCATTGTAAAATTTGCAATTGAAAGTGATTTTTGTGAGATCTGTATTTTAAAATTTTTAATGGGAATACTAAAGCTTATGCATGTAGTTAAACCATGTTATCTTATAACTTGCCTATTGTTATTTTAATCATCACCTTTTTTGTTATTCTTTAGTTTAATTTTTGCACACTTTGATATCAATTTTTCAATTTTCAGGTAACACTTTAAAGGAACATTTTAGTCGCCAAAATGCTTTTTTTTTCTCAAAAGCTTTTTTAATGTACAGTTACAGTTTAGGAAAGAGCACTCACATTGGCAATACAACTTAACAATTTTATTGCAACCCTTAATATATATTTCAGCAATTTGTTTGATAAACATACTGTATGAAAGACTGAATACAATTTTGTTTATGTTTTGCTACTTTAATGACAAAGTATTTCAGATTCAATAATGCTATCTTTATTTGATGATAAAAAGCATCTATTATATTCCAAACTTATTATAAACCAAAATCATATGGGCAAAAACTTGTTAGAGATAACAAATTTGACCAATTCTTATTAAAACTTTGCTTGAATTTTAAGATGAAATGAAATACAAGTTAAGTATCATGATAAAGAAAAGAAGTTAAAAACTAGAAACATGGTTTGAAGCCAATTAGAATTCAGTTTACTATGGAGAACAGACATATAATATACTTTATGAGTAAAACTTTAAAGGCCCATTATGCCTCAGAAATGCTTTTATTTATGTTTCTTAAAAGCTTTTCAATTTTGGTGTGCTTTTTAGTATCCAAAAAGTTACTTATTGGCTTATTACCTTAATAATATTTTTCACCTGTTGCTTTTTGGCAATAAGTACAGTTATAGTGAACTGGTATTTTATATGGAAGTCAAAATACTACTGTTTTTACATTTTGCTACTTTTATGACAACTAATTTCACATTTAGAGTTACTTTCATCAGGTAACAAGTAGCGAACATTCTCTAAAACTGTTATTTAAACATTATAAAATTCATGTTTGCCCTTTCTGAGGAAGTAAAATTTATTTGTTTCTGAGGCATAACGTACCTTTAACTAATATAATTTACATTTCATTGGTATTAAGTTTTGTAGACTTCGGATACGGTGATAAGAGGAGTTGATTATGTCATTGAATTCAATAAAAAACTATTACATTTTATTTCTTCTTGTGTTGTTCATTACTAATTGTACAGGGGTATTTGATCCATTTTGCTGCAAAATTATTTATAGAAGTTATAGAAACAACATAGATTAAAGAATATTATTATAAGCCTATCCAGCTAGCTAATGGAACGTCATAGTTTCTACTTGAGCGCCTGTTTGTGCGTGAAATAATGCATGAAAGAGCCACCTTAGGTCTTCATCCACCAGTAAAGTTTGAAAGTCGCCATATGACATATAACTGTGATGCTGCAACATTAAACTCCACAACAAAAAAATGTTTTAAGCACTTTGCAATATACAATATTATAATATGTAATTGCTACAAGTAACTAAAACTTATGCAGGGGTACCCATGTCTTAGTGATTAAGATTGCTGACCTCTAATCACTTACCCCTCAATGCTGTTGGATTGATCCAACCAGGATTTCGGTATTTTTACTGTGTTAAAGCCACTGGCAAGCTGTTAGAAAGCTGATGTTTCTATTTACATGCCCATTTGTACCTCTATGATTATTATTAAATTATTGATAATTTTTAAAGAAACACCTGTTTTGTCTTTCTCTGCCAGTAAAGATAGAAAGTTTTATATGATCTTAATACAGTGTCTATCTGTTTTGAACATCATTGCTGACAAAATTGAGTTTCTGTGTTTTAAATCTCCAAATTGATAGGTGATTGATATGAAAATAGAAAAAGATGATAAGAATTATTAAGTTAGATAAAATACTACTACAGGTAATGGGGTCTCTGTGGTCTGTGACTTTGTTTCCTTTGCCCTTCACTACTGTTAAGTTTGAGTTTTATCACACAGACAAAGACCCTTCATATTTTCAGTTGAAGATGCTATCCAGCATGCTTACAAAATGTGATTCTACTCCTCCTAATAAGGCTGGAGAGACACCATATTACCTTTACATTGTAGGTGTGGCTACTTAAAACCTAACAAAAACTATTATTGGTCATTTTATTAGCCGCACTTGGGAGAAGATATTTCAGATATTGCTACTGTCAGGTTGCCATTGCCCTCCAGAAGCTTTAATGTTTACCATTCCTTTTTATTTTTAGCTTGACTGTTCGAAGAATATGGAGAGCTATTGTAGTCGCCCCGGTGTCGGTGTCCGCGTCGGCGTCTGTGTTGGTTAAAAGTTTTTTGTAAAGTCAAATATCTCAATTATTGCTTGAGATATTCAATTGAAACTTACAATACTTATTATCCCCCGCCGAAAAATTTCGGCGGAGGATATAGTAATAGTCTCCGTCCGTCCGACCTTCCGTCCGTCCGTCCTTCCGTCCGACATTTTTGTCCGGAGCATATCTCTAAAAGTATTTGAGTTATCAACTTGAAACTTCATAGGTGGATAGACCTCATTGAGGAGGAGTGCAGTGCACAAGAATGATAACTCTACCTTGCATGATTTTTGAGTTATTGCCCTTTGTTATTTTTCAAAATTGATTTTTGTCCAGAGCATAACTCCAAAAGCCTATGAGATATTAACATGAAACTTCATAGGTGCATAGATCTCACTCAGGAGGTGTGCAGTGCACAAGAATGATAACTCTACCTTTCATAATTTTTGAGTTATTGCCCTTTGTTATTTTTCATACCTAATTTTTCACCTGAGTGGAGCATAACTCAAAAAGTGTTTGAGATATCAACATGAAATGTCATAGGTGGATAGATCTTATTGAGGAGGAATGTTGTGCGCAAGAATGATAACTCTTCCCTATACAATTTTTGAGTTATTGCCCTTTGTTTTTTTTTCATGCTATTTTGTCCAGAGCTTATCTCAAAAAGTATTTGAGGTATCAACTTGAAACTTCATATGTGGATGGATCTCATTAAGGAGGAGTGCAGTGCTTTAGAATGATAACTCTACCCTGCATTATTTTTGAGTTATTGCCCTTTGTTATTTTTCAAAATTAATTTTTGTCCAGAGCATAACTCAAAAAGCCTTTGAGATATCAAAATGAAACTTCATAGGTGCATAGATCTCACTCAGGAGGTGTGCACTGCACAAGAATGATAACTCTATCTTTTATAATTTTTGAGTTATTGCCCTTTGTTCTTTTTCATACTTAATTTTTCAATTCAATTTTTTTCTCAAAAAGTATTTGAGGTATCAACTTGAAACTTCATAGGTGGATAGATTTTACTGAGGAGGGATGCAGCACACAAGAATGATAACCTACCCTGCATTAATTTTTCAGTAATTGCCCTTTGTTATTTTCAGCCATCAGTATTCACATAGGTTTCAAATCTGTAATCACTATAGCCATCAGTTTTCATTACCAAAAGACCTCTTAAAATGGAATTATTCCGCTCTACTACATATACATTCTTCCAATGAGCAAACACATTCGGCGGGGGATGGCCATGTTGACATGGCTCTTGTTTATAATAACAATGTACATCAGATTGACAAGTTGGATAACTCTGCCTACAATATTTACAGAATTATGCCCCTTTTTAGCTCGACTATTCTATAAGAATAAGTAGAGCTATTGTAGTCACCCGTGCGTCGGCGTTGGCGTCCGCGTCGGCGTAACCACTTATGTTAAAGTTTTTGTAATAGTTCAAATATTTTCAGAGTCCATTGACATATGGCTTTGAAACTTTGCACACTTGTTCACCATCATGACCTCAACCTGTAGACAGGAGGAGTTAACTCTATCAAGCATTTTGACAGAATTATGCCCCCTTTTCGACTTAGAATTTATGTTAAAGTTTTTGTAATAGTTCAAATATTTTCAGAGTCCATTGACATATGGCTTTGAAACTTTGCACACTTGTTCACCATCATAACCTCAACCTGTAGACAGGAGGAGGTAACTCTATCAAGCATTTTGACAGAATTATGCCCCTTTTTCGACTTAGAATTTATGTTAAAGTTTTTGTAATAGTTCAAATATTTTCAAAGTCCATTGACATATGGCTTTGAAACTTTGCACACTTGTTCACCATCATGACCTCAACCTGTAGACAGGAGGAGGTAACTCTATCAAGTATTTTGACAGAATTATGTCCCTTTTTCGACTTAGAATTTATGTTAAAGTTTTTGTAATACCTCAAATATTTTCAAAGTCCATTGACATATGGCTTTGAAACTTTGCACACTTGTTCACCATTATGACCTCAACCTGTAGACAGGAGGAGGTAACTCTATCAAGCATTTTGACAGAATTATGCCCCTTTTTCGACTAAGAATTTACGTTAAAGTTTTTGTAATACCTCAAATATTTTCAGAGTCCATTGACATATGGCTTTGAAACTTTGCACACTTGTTCACCATCATGACTTCAACCTGTAGACAGGAGAAGGTAATTCTATCAAGTATTTTGACAGAATTATGCCCCTTTTTGTGTCGCCTTGAAAAGGTGACATATAGGGGTTACTTTTGTCGGCGGTGGCGGCGGCGTCTGTGTCGGCGTCGTTGTCGGCGTCGGCGTCCCCTAAAGCTTGTCCAGAGCATAACTCAGTCACTATAAGTCTGATTGACTTCAAACTTGGTATGCATGCTTCTTTCAATAACCCGAAGTGCAGTGCACAAGGACCGGTACTCTGCAGTTCTTATTTTTGGAGTTATTGCCCTTTGTTAATTTTTATACTTTAATTTTGTCCGGGCCATTTCTCTTCAACTAAAAAAGCTATGGACTTGAAACTTCATAGGATGATAGATCTCATTAAGAAGAAATGCAGTGCACAAGAACCAGTACTCTGCACTTCCTAATTTTTGAGTTATTGCCCTTTGTTAATTTTCATACTTTATTTTTGTCCGGGCCATTTCTCCTTAAGTATAAAAGCTATGGACTTGAAACTTCATAGGATGATAGATCTCATTATTAAGAAGTGCAGTGCACAAGAATCTGTACTCTGCATTTCTTAATTTTTGAGTTATGGCCCTTTGTTAATTTTCATACTTAATTTTTGTCCAGGCCATTTCTCCGAAAGTATAAAAGTTATGGACTTGAAACTTCATAGGATGATAGATCTCATTAAAAAGAAGTGCAGTGCATAAGAACTGATACTCTGCATTTCTTAATTTTTGAGTTATTGCCCTTTGTTGATTTTCTTACTTTATTTTTGTCCTGGTCATTTCTCCTCAAGTATGAAAGCTATGGACTTGAAACATCATAGAATTTGATAAGAAGTGCAGTGTACAGAAACTGCTGCTCTGCACGTATTATTTTTTTAGTTATTGCCCTTTGTTATTTTTCATATTTCATTTTTGTCCTGGCCATTTCCCCTAAACTACATTGTTCACAAGGCGACACATCCGACTCGCGGAGTTCTAGTTTGACTTAGAATTTATGTTAAAGTTTTTGTAATAGTTCAAATATTTTCAGAGTCAATTGACATATGTCTTTGAAACTTTGCACACTTGTTCACCATCATGACCCCAACTTGTAGACAGGAGGAGGTAACTCTATCAAGCATTTTGACAGAATTATGTCCCTTTTTCGACTAAGAATTTACGTTAAAGTTTTTGTAATACCTCAAATATTTTCAAAGTTCATTGACATTATAAAGGCTTCGAAACATGTTGAAATTTTATACTCTTCTTTGAGAGCATAGTAGGACTCTCGCCAAGGCCTATAACTGTAATATGGATTTAGAGAAAAAATTTGCCCTTTTCTTTATTTAGAAAATTTTACCTTTTAATGAAGGCTTTTTTTACTTTCAAGCACTAAGAATAGTCGAGCGTTGCTGTCATACCGACAGCTCTTGTTTACTTAGAAATTTTGGTTTTTTGCCGACAATATTTACAGAATTATGCCCCTTTTTAACTTAGAAATTTTGTTAAAGTTTTTTATAGTCAAATATCTCAATTATTGCTTGAGATATTCAATTGAAGTTTACAATATTTTTTATAGTAACAATGTTCATCAGTTTGCAAAGTTGCATAACTCTGCTTGCAATATTTGCAGAATTATTTGCCCCTTTGAAACTTAGAAATTTTGGTTAAAGGTTAAAGGTCTTCAAAGATATTTACTTGA